AAAAAAAAAAAACAAAACCTATGTCAACATAAAACATCAACACAGATGTGTACAAATGTAAGATTTTTGAAGAATGAAGAACAAAAACTTTTAAAGACAAGTCATCAGAGAAGGAAGCATTTAAACAATACTATCCTGTCAGTATTGTATAGCCTAACCAATAATATAAAAACTGTAGGGTTTTTATACTACTGGTAAGGGCCGAGGACCAACTCTCAGCCTGAGGGTGACGCTGCGATTAACCTCTTTCTTATCACTTTCTAATATAAACTACCAGATTAGTTTTGAATGTTCCTCAATATGGTGAGGGATTTTATATTTCAGGTCAGCCTATACATAGTGTAGCTCTGTTGCAAGCAATCAACCGTAAACCTGTCTATTGTGGAGAAAAAGGTTTGGCAAAATGTTAACTAGACATATTTTATTTATTCAAACAAAAAATATATGTTCACTAGAACGAAAATCTGCAAAATCTTTAAATAAATGCTTTTCGTTATTCTCCCATCATTCACACAAGTCACTGCTACTTAATCAGTTGTTTGCAAGAAGAGCAAAGCTTGTTTTTTTTGTAAAACACAGCGGATTTCCACGACTATAGCCATTTGTATGTAAAATAAAGCTACATGTCTAGTTTTTTTGTAGATAAACAATTTCTAATTTCTAACATCTATATCTATACTATTATAATGAAGCGTAAACACACACTTCTTTGTTGCCTAAGATGTCAGCAATTATAGCATATTTTTAAATAATTATTTTTTTAATAGAAAGCCCTACACTTATGTCACGCTTTAGGCTATATATTTTCCTGCCATTAAACTTAGAAGGTAAATATTTTGGATGAAAACCCTAATGTGGGAAAGAGACCATAAATTGCTGCCAACATCAAGGAAGCAAGTTTGTCATGTCATGTCATTTTGACATTTGCTATTGATAATTTGACAAATGTAAATAATAAAATAAAGTTTTTACAATTGCAGATGAAGCCGCATGGGAACAGCTAGTTGTTTATATGACTAATTCCAAGAACTGTATGTTCCATATTATTGTCACATGAGTCACAATCTCTGATAAGACTTATCAGTCAGTTAACACTATTTACTATTTACCTTAATATTAACTAATGCTATAAAGTTGACTACACTATTGATAAGAAAATATTTTCTAGTAACACTTTTATTAATATTTTCATATCTGTTATTAATCATAATAATGTTATTTTGTTCATATGGAGTGTTGTATAATTTTTCACTACTGAATCAAAATTTATTCTAAATATCCACTTGTATTAACTTTTCCTAACATTATTTATCAATAAATAATACACAACTTTACTTAACATTATCTATAATTACATTCCTAGATAGAATTCCACTTTAATTGGAATTGAAAAAGTTGATTAGCTAATTATTTTTTAACAAGGTATTTTTACTTAAATATAAATACCCCAGTACATAACTAAGTCTTGTTATATTCTTAAACAAATGAATGTTGTTGTACAAGAAAGTGTTTCTTTTCTGTACATAGGAATGTATCAACAATGCTGTAATAGAAAACAAAAGATGAACGCTCGCTTGATGTAATTTTCTCCTACAAATTAATTTTAAATCAAAAGTTTTGATGACGAAAATTTATTTGCTACATCAAATAAAATTACTTGAAAATATAGTTACAAATTCACCAACAACGTCCTAGGTATGTATTTGCTATTAATAAACGAACAACTAAAAGATGGGTTCATATTTTGAGGAATGTGTTGAAATTTAATACAGCAAATTATAAATTCATTCAAGGTTACAAGGAACAGCGCAGTCATATTAATGTCTTTTAAATGTATTATATGAAGGTCACACTCAATCCCTTAATAGGCAGACTAAAACTAAAAACAGTAACATATGAAACAATATAATTATAGCACCACAGGTGTTTGAAAAAATACGCAAGCACAAAATACTGACCGTTTAAGTGCAGTGCTCACAAATTTTACAATATCCACAAAAAGTAACATAAAACACTTTCACTTTACATAAAACGTTTTGATAAAAAAATATTCTGAACACTTGAAAATATTTACATTAATGTAATATTTACAAATACACCACTTTCTACTGTACTCACTCTGCCAAACACTTGTAAAAAACTATAGAGTAGAACAGAATATAGAATGAAGTGAAGGTATAGACTATTTGATGTTGCCAGAATACTAGCAAATAAAAAGGAAACCAGAAACGACCAACACCTTAAATAAAAAGAAATGTTATACAATATGTTTTACTGATTATCTTAAGAAAAATAAGGGTAAGAATAGTAAAGTAATTTGTTGGTAAATTATATTTTGAATAATTTTTATTAAAAAGCAGACTTGATTGTCTATTGACTAAATGTTACTATTATAAGTAATCTGCCTATATAAGAGGATATTTTTGTGCCGAAACTTATTTACGTGGATTTTGACCTACCACATCTACGCAATATTTCATTTTAATTCAAATGTTCCCCGAAGTCATCTCAAAGAAAAATACATTTTTTTTTGTAGATAAATGCGTTGTCATCCAAGTCAATTTTTTATGAAAATTGAGTACACCTTATTTAACGTACTACTAAAGCAAATACATAGTCTATTCTAACTTTATTTTTTCTTTATATTTCGGCAAATTAAATACAAAACCTTGGCAACATTTGTAGTGCCGATTTTTGCCGGGCACAGGGCGCAACACAACATACAGTTCATATCATAGCTCTGTCGGAGTTCATACGAAAGCTGAACTGAATCATAGCTCAAAAACTTACGTACGTGGGCGGTAACAAAACATTGTTGCATGTGCGTGTTTATTTACAAAAAATATCCTTAATATTGACTGGGACACGGTGTTTTATAAATTTTTAAATAATACTGCTAATATTTTGTGAAAATTTAAAGTGAAATATATGAAAAACTCTGAAACATTCATTTATTGACTGTGAAAAACATATATTCGCGAAGATGACTGCGTCCACTATGATCGAATTGGAGTCTTGGATTATCTACCAATGTGTGCTGAATGAATGCCATGTATCCAACAGCTGTACGTATTATTAATGTATTTTTTTTAATAAATTTAATATGACATTTAAAAGATAACTAGTAAATCTTTAAAGATATAGGTAAAAATACTTTACTTTACAACGTTTAATTGAAAAGTCGAAGTATGTTAAGGTTCCTGTTGAAAATTTAATAATTCCTCAAACGGATTGGTCGTATTTGTTCCCCCCAGAGGGTAATTGTATGTGGTAAGAAGTTTCATTCACATTTTATCAGCTAATTGGTCAGACGGTATGTTTTAATTAACATTAATTGCTGAATGTTCGTTAACAACACGCTTGGTGCACTGCATTGGAGTTGTATTACTGTGTATTTACAGTAGGTAGAATAAAATCAATTGAATTTAACGAATTAAAACGAGTTTTTACACCTTGCCGTCAATTCTAGAAACACTTGTGCGATATATATTAGTCACTGCACACAAGGTGGAGTTACGAGTTTAGCGGGAAATTTCTGAAAAAAATTGTATGTATAAAGATAATATGTTGGTAATGACAGATTAAAAACTGCCATTTTTTCATCAACTGTCAAGGATTAATAGTGGATGTCGGTTTTTATCATCTGCCAGTTCTAACTTATAAAGTCTAGCTGAAGACCACACATAGTAGAGGAAAATCATAGCAGATGGTGATTCTGATGGTTGGTGAAGTTAAAAACGAGGGGAATAACGATAAAATTCCTGAGCAATCACATCAAATCTAATCATAAAATCCAACAGTGACTGCTTGTAGCAGTATTCAAAATTTAAAATAATGCTGAAAAACAAAAGTAAGCCTATGTGTTCTTCTAGACTATGACTATGTTCTACATCTATGCTATATTGTATCCAGATCAGATCAGCCGTTTAGGCTACAAACTCTAACAAACATCCATCCATCTAAACTTTCGCATTTATAATACTAGAATGATTACAAGCAAGAAGTTCCCGGTAAAAAGAAATGGAGTATGCGAGAGAATTGGTGATGATGACTTGGGATAGGTCGTCAAACCGTAATGAAAAGCCTATAATAAATAAAGATAAAACATGAATATAAAAAGATTGTATGAAAGAGATAGAGATGTAGGTTTGAAGAAAACTGTCGAGACTCCATAGTGGAGAGCAATGAGATGACGAAAAATTAAAAAGAAAATCAGCTATGTTAAAATAAGAATTTTAACGGAGCTTACCTTGGAATATTCCTCTCAGAACGTGGTTTTTAGCTTGTATTTACTTATTTGATATTCATACAGCGAGAATTGTTTTTTTTTTAATTTAATTCAAACTTCGTTTGCGGGATACATTTGTACTACAGATTAAAATACGTAAACGTAATTTTGTCTTAATATCTAAAGCCAGTCTGATGAAAACAGAAAATAACATTTCTACAGGAGAACTTTTTTGATATTCTTTGCCTAAAGACTTAGCGATAAGATTGTTTGCAGAAAAAAACAAAAGCGTCGTCTGAGATACAATTTAATAAAAGTTTGTGAAATAATCTCATGTTATACATTTTATGTAATAAAAGAGGCCTATATTATAGACATACATGTATAGACAGCGAGGGGACACGAGGGGATTAGGGTGAACTCCTCCATACGACCATAATTATAGTAGCTGCCACCCCCCCTTAGACCTAGCCTAGGTCATCGACCGTTTACGCAAATGGCTATACTTACGGTATTACAAAAAATGAACGCGCCAAACTTAGAAAGAACACCAAATAAAGTACATCCGTTCTGCCAAATTGTAAACGAAACTATTTAATTTTAGGAATTAATTCAAGCAATCATAGATTGCAAGCAATTTTCGATTTTTCGTATATGTACATAATTTACCCGACGTTCTTACGGTGATGGAAAACGTGATGTAACCTGTACATATCAGC